AACTTCTCCAAGGTGCATATTATTTTCAAATTAACAGACTTAAACAGACTTGTTCAAGTTATGTATTAGTGAAGCAGGACTGATTTGTTGTTTTTGTAGTTCTTTTAGTTTTTCATTCATTCAAAGCCGCAAATTGATTGATCTGTGAATAACCACGTGTAAAATGTCACAGAGCGCAAATGACATGTAACCATCATCCTGCTGTGTCTTCTTTTTTCAATGTAATGTCCTCGATTCTCTGTGCCTTTTCAAGGCCATGTTCACATACAGGTGTCTGCCAACAATCGAACAGACCACTGGGAGTTGGGAGGATGGGTGGCACCGAGGTGAAACTGCAGAAGATGAGCAGATTTTAGTTACTTTTGTATTGATTATATCTTTCAAAATGCTTCACATATTTGTGTTTGAAATATGTCACTATTTATTATGATTTATATAATTATGATTTTTCACAAGATTTATTGTGCCTGATATTTTAATATTTAATATTTTTTATATGCAAAATATCACATAATTTGTGATATTTTGCAAATATATACAACTCTGAAAAAAATTAGAGACTACTTAAAAGTGTCACTTTTTCTGATTCTATTTTTCATCAGCCTAATAGCATAATTACCTTAGTTCTAGTGTCCTGGGTCTTTTTTTTTATGGGACTGAAGCAATTATGCTATTAGACTGATGTTTTTATAGGTATATGTTTAAGTCAAAAAAAATTTTTATTCTATTAACTACTGACAACATGTCTCCAAACTTCCCAGCAAAAATGTAGTATTTATTTGCAGAAAATGAGAAATGGTCAAAACAACAAAAAAAATGCAGTGCTTTCAGATGATGCAAAGAAAACCAGTTCAGTCATTAAGAAACATCCATCTGTTTTCTTCCACTTACCCAGGATCAGGACGCGGGGGTAGCAACCTAAGAAGGGAGGCCCAGGCTTCCCTCTTTCCAGCCACTTGTTCCAGCTACTCTGGGGGAATCCCAAGGCATTCCCAGGCCAGCTGAGAAACATCATCCCTAAAGGGTGTCCTGGGTCTTCCCTTGGTCCTCCTCCCTGTGGGATGTGCCTGGAAAACCTCACCAGGGAGACGACCAGGAGGCAATCTAAACAGAAACAACAATACTAATGTTTTAATTCAGGAAGAGTGGAATATTTGGTGGAATAACCAGGAGGTTTTCAATGGGGTTCTGTGCAGTAGACTTGTCATACCCTTTGTCCCACTGAGGGGCGTTATTCTTTTCTATTCTATCTTTAATAAAACATAAATATATTCTTGTTTCCAGGTAATCTCCCTTGTTTTGAACTTTAGACCTTTTTTACTTCCAGTCATTGTGTTTTTATGCTGCCTCCATATTCTAATGGTGACTTTTTCACACAATTTGTCACTTTCTTGCAATCATTACAACTAATTATAAAAAAGTTTTGCTAATAGGTAGTTTTAAAATCCACATTGATGATCAGTTTAACAGACTTGCATCACTATTTCTTTATCTCATTTAAAGGTGCAGTATGCAACTTACATAAAAAATATGTTTTTCACGTTTGTTAAAACTGTCACTATGTCATGACATAATGTTATATCAGTCAATCACGTGCATATGCTGCTAAATGTGCAAATGGTGGAGAAACATTACAACCTACGTTACTTGAAAACTGGTTGTCATCACGGGGGAATTATGCTAACAAGCTTGAACATTCACAACAGGCCAGCGGCAGCATAGCAGGGTGTCATTGGGAGGGGAGATGAGCAGGAGAATGATGGACAGCACTAAGACCGTCCTCCTGACTCCAATTGGTTGTTTGTAGTTAGGTTAGGGAGCACTTGGAGAATGCAGTTTTTTTCACAGATTTTTTTCACAGACAGTGACACTTTCAACAGATATATAAAAAATAATATTTTTATAAAAGTTACACACTGGCCAAGAGGAAACAGAAGATGTCTAATCTTATTCTATCATGAAAAGCCTTGCAATTTTTTTTTTTTTTACGAGAACAATAAAAACAAGAAAATTCTATGTATTTTTCACAAGTCCTTGTCTCCACTCCCTGCAATCCAAAACTGTTATTTAAAACTATCAATTTTGTAATTCTTTGTTTCTGTCTTATGAATGAAATATCATCTGTTGAAAGATGTGAATCATTTTGCTCTGCTGTTTGAGTAAAGTCTCCAGAAACAGAGTTCAGATTGAACGCACTGTTTAGAAACAAAACAAACTTTTGATTGACTTCATCCTCTCACAATATGATTTGATTTGTATAGCTAAGGGCATGACGTCATCTCCCAATTTATTACATGCCTTACCAACAAATCTTTTGTAAATGTCCCTTTACATTTTTACATTCTGATACTATGTTGAGTTTTAGTCTTTTAAACTACTGTTTTTCTGCTATTATTATAGAAACCAAACTTTGATGTGAATGATTTTATTTATATAGCCCTATCCAAATGACTTTGTATGGCCACAATGTGGGGAAAAAATATCTATCTTCAATTATATCATATTCATTTATCTATAACCCGATTTGGTCTTTCTGCAGCAAACATACCAAATTAATCTTTTTAATATCTGTCTGGATGTATGATTACTTTTTATTGTTAAATGGTGATAAATAGGAAGTGTTCATCACTTCCTATTTATGTTATCTCAAAGTACTCAGAGACTCTAATATTCAGATTCTCCATTCTTCAGGCTTTCACTGCAGCTATGGGGTAGGAACCTTTGAGTAGTTTTAGATTCTGATTTGACTTTATTCATACACTTAAATAATATCAGCAGAACTGATTTTATTCTGAATATTTTCAATGTAAGATTGATTATCTCTGATGCTCAGATCCTGTATCATTTTTTTTTATCTCATGTCGTTTTGATTACTACAAATTCTCTATTTACTGGTCTGCCTCAAAAGCCCTCAGTTGTCTCTAATTAGGACAGAACACAGCAGCTAGAGTCCTCACTAGAACCCATATATAGTTCCTACAAATCTAAACCGGAAGTGATTCATGCCTGCCTCGGATGCAAGTGCAGCGTAAAGCATAGACTATTGATGGTTTCAATACCCAAAAAAAGAAAACGGCTGACTGCCAAAATGGCTGTTAGTTCCAAAGTTCCTGGAGGTGTGATGTCACATGAGAACGACTTTTTGCACTGGTTCAACTCTTGCCTTTTTGCACTGGTTACTTGTGATGTTCAGAGCTGATTCTCAGATTTTAAAGTTAGATTTTAAAACATTTAATAATTTTTGCTCCATCTTATATTTCTGAGCTCCTCACTCCTTTCAACACCCACCTCATCACCGACCTCTGAAGTCATATGACCCATCTAGGCACTCTCTGTGCTGACAGAGGTAATCGACTCAGGGTTATCAAGTTTTGTATGGTCAGATTGTCTCTTCTATGGAATGTCCTGCCACTTAGAATAAGACTGGCACTAGGCTCTTCAATGCCCTGCTTTGAAGAGCAGGACATTAAAAGGTTGGCATTAAAAGGTTGGCTTTTAACTTTTGATTCTCTGCATGTTTATTTTTGGGTATTTTGTATGTTTTGATTTTGCAATGTAATCTAAAGGACTTTGCAATTCTGTTTTGAAAGGTGCAATACAAATTAGATGTATTATCATTGTTATTATAACAAATGGGCACAAATCCCATTTGATAGAATGTAGTGCCTGTCAAAAAGGAGTTCTCCAGGACAAGAGAAGAATCTTACATTTCTAAAAATTGAAAGTCACTGCAATTGCATCGTATTGGAGCCACATGTTAAGATTTGGGATGTGGGGTTTTGACAGAAACTTTGCAGAACCACTTTGAACAACTTGCAACCTTTCTAGGAAGGTTTTGCTTAGACATGTGTGAACTACTACATAATCTAACATCTAGAGTCTTCTTTCTTTCCGCTGTAGGGGCTACAGCAAATTGGTGCTAAGGAGAATGGTACTCGTAATCGGCTTGGTCAGGCTTGTTCTACACCTGGAATGGTTAAAATGTGAAGGAGGAAGTTGGAACTGGGCAGGATCTACAAATCTGACCAGGGCTGACTGTGGAGAAGGAACTACAAAATTATTTGTCTTCCAATGTGTCTGAATTAAGACTATTGCTGCTAAATTTCTCCACGGTCATGGGAAAGACTTGTCATCAGTTATAAACACTTGATGGCATTTGTTTCTGCCAAGGGTGGAACAAACAGTTATTAGGATTGGGGTAATTACTATTTCATATATTGTCACATCCAAGTTTGGATCTCCTTTTTTCATCACTGAAATAATTAGAACACTTTTTAAATTTTCTTGTGTTCTACTGTGTAAACTGGGCCAATATTACTCTATTCGTGTAACAATTGCCCTTAAAACAATTTGAAAGAAAAAAGCAAATTCAGCAGAAATCTGTAAACACGTCAGAACCATAAAGCGCATATATATATAAAAGACCAACAATATTGAGACACAATTTTATTTCATAAGACCCTAACCCGGATGTAACCAGTCAAATAGTCTTACTCCGATCAACCGGTATAGAGGAAAAAAAGACATTAGAAGAAGAAGAAAAAAAAAGAAAAAAAACTTTGGAGTTTGTAATTAGGGCGAGGCTTTGTTCCAGCCCTTGTACCAGCTCTCGGATTCCCCGCAGCGCCAACTTCTTGTGCTACAACATTCAGGCGTAGTGCTGTCTTGTCGTGTTTTTCTTCCTCTTTTTGTAATTTCTTCATGACTTGTTTTTGGCTCCATGTTCAAGTTCTCGTCCGTCACGGATTGTGGTAGTCGCGCACACGTTGCGCAGCGCGCAGGCACACGCGCGCGGGTGTAGCCCCTCGCCTGATTTGCACTGGCACGGGTCATTTCAGGTTAGAGCCTGGCGCTGTCCCGTTCAGCTTGGCCCACGGAGAACAACACTGGATCCAGCTGAGGAGGAATGCACGGCCAGTAGGACACCGATTCGTTTCTGGATACAAGCTTCGTGGTACATATGCGGTACGTTTCGCTTTTTAAGGGGGAGTGGGATTTTTATTACTATTTAGCCAATGACAGCTTCTATTGAAAGAGACATTTTAAATATATACACCAACCACATGAACCGAATGTTTTTTTTTCCTAGGCTAAATGCTTTCAGAAAGGTTAAACATCTTTATGTCCCGTGGAATTACATTCAAAATGTCTGAAATTTAACCCCATCCTGCTTGTTCTAAAAAGTGCATATCTGTGTACGTATATTTATTTTCTTATAAGCAGCCATTAATAATCTGTGACAGTTCGGGGTAGAAATTATTTTTAAATTGCACGTTATAGGAGGATTATTTCAACATTAATGTATGTTAACCCTGCTAAAATGGCAAGTTGTCATCCCTGTGTTATACCCAGAGTAAAGGGAGATTTTGTAAAAAATAGTACGATTTTGCAAGCTTTCGCTTGTTTTAAGGACGCCGATTTATAAAGTTGCTCGTAAAAATCCTTATTTTTAACCAAAGTTGTTTGTGAAACTCGCTACATGTCTATTAAAGAAAGAAAGTTAAAAATATATGGATTTAACACGGAGTTCCATAGAGGTACGAAGCGGATTAGCTTTTTTCTTTATACTTGATAGAGTTGGGGTTTTGGGCCCGTAAACGTTCACTTTGTAAACACGCTAGTTCATACTCTAACACTTCCAGCATGTCTCACCTCACTTATAATCGTGTTGCAGTTAGATATTGTGTGTATTTCCGCGTTCAGCAGCAGCTTTCGCTTTTTGGCACTTGAACTTCACTGGAGCCCTCCATTAACATCTGGTGTGCAGGAATAAGCAAACCCCGCTCCCAGCGCATTAAAGGTTGACCATGACGCTGCAGTCACTGTGTCTCTAGCTTTGCACCAAATCACTGAGGTATTTGAACCCGAGGAACGACCTGTCTCTCAGGTGTGACGTTTGTTCAACACCACTTTACGTCCAGTCGTTTATTACTTGTGCGATAGGTGACATGTGGCCATGTGAGCACGAAGTGATGCATTCAGGTCAGTCAGAATTTTTTATTTTATCATTTTTTATACGTTTTTTTTACTAGGAAAGGTAAACAGACAAATGATCAAATAGTCAACATAATTATGTACGGTAGCTTTAACATTTTGTGGTCATATTTTTTACTTCAGTTCATTAGTGGCTCTTCCTTGAACCATTTCTCTATTAAAGGGATAGTTGGAAGGCAAACGCTATGAAGTTATTATCAGTAATAATTCCTTTGTCTGTATTGGAAAGGTGTAATGTCACGGGCGTTTGTAGAAAAGCCGTTGGAGTCTAACAGGTAGCCAGACAACCTGAGTTTGGTAATCTAAAATTATTCAAACTGAAAATGCTCATATCATTGACATACAGTGTTATACTATAAATATATTCACAGTCTACACTTTCATTGCTTCCATATCACTATATGGTTACGTTAGTGGGGGCGAGGGGAGTGGAGAAGTTGGAGAGGGTGGGTGTTTATGTCACTCTGCTTGATTGGCTGATCATGAGCCTGCAGGAAGAATATCCAAACAGCCATAAGATGTGGTCTTCTATTATATTGGAGAACTGACAGTCTGTTGCTAAATCCAGAAGTCGACTGCCCTCAAGATGGATTTAGCGCTCCAACTGTGGCCATGTGAGCACCATGTGAGGTAAATGTGGACAGCCTCGACCATCTTTACTAACATAGAGAAAACAGAAATAAATTTAACAAAGAGTATGTTTATGGTCTGCTAATCACTTTGTATCCTATGGGTATAATAAGGCTGAACAATATGGCTGAAAATAAATATTTCATATCAGTGGCTATTGATAATAATAGATTAGTTTCTTGCTTGAAATATCCAAATACTGCCAAAATGGTGACGTGACCTTTCCTGTTTTATACACAATTTTCTTTTAAGCTGTTGTACTCATTTTCTCCTTTCACTCCACCCTGTTCTTTTTTATTTTTAAGTAGTCATAGGCCATGGAGGCGAAACTTGAAACTGCTCCCACATGATGAGCTAGTTGGGCGCTTAGCCCCGTTTCTTCTCCACCAGGGCAGCCTGATGTCAGTGCTGCACAGAGAGAGCGGCAGTAACGTTGCACGTCCTTGTGTCTGGTCACCCTGACTCTCAACATTATGAGCTTAGTGTTGCACATTGAACAGTTCGACGTGATTGCAGTTTCTTCCACTGCATTTTCCTATGCAAGTCAGTACTTCACTGAATATCTTCATGCAGTTCTGAAAATATACCTTTGCAGGAATGCGTCCAACAGACGCCTGCAATGAATCTGCTTCAAGTACACGCAGACCGCCAAGGAGTGAAGAGTACATTGGAGGCAACATGAAACTGCTGCTGCGCATAGTACACATCCATGTACACCATGCACAATCAATGGTTGCTAGCTAACCATTGATTGCCTGAGTCAGATCATCTCACAAACCTTTCTTAGGCTACGCTTACATTGCAGGCCTTAATGCTCAATTCCGATTTTCGGGGGAATCCCTTTTTTTTTTTTTGCATGGTCATTCTCAAACAACATCCATGCCTGTGTTCTCCTGTGTAAACTGCAAACAAGCTGAAAGTTTCCTTCACGTGCAGCAGAGGACACAGTAACGTCACATGTAGCAAGCTGCTAAGTGTTTGGGGATGTACGCATGTTTAGCTGTTTTAAAGTTCTTGACATCTGGAGGCAGCAAACTGACAACTTAACTCTCATCATGGTTGCTGCTTTTCTTCCTGCTTCCGCCTATCAGGACACAGAACAGTGACATTTGTTGAGTATCAGTGACATAAAGGCCAGATGAGTGCGACCTGGCCATACTGGCACAGGTCACATTTGGAAAGATCAGGTAGGGATCGGACTTAGGAACACATATCCAAGTGATAGCGAAGTCACATTTGTAAAAACCCGATCTGTGTTGTTCACACTGTTATGAAAAGATCAGATTCAGACATAAGGGGGAAAAAAATTCTGATTTGGGTCTCTTCAGGCTGCAGTGTGAACGTAACCTAAGAAGTTGAGTGGCTTGAGCCTTTCCTCTGCCTACATCCCCCAGAATGCCATGTGGTTCTGGATCAATATTGTATCAGATTTATTTTCTATTGATATTGTTCACGTGTTTATCGCAATAGCTACCATTATTATTTTATCGCCCAGACCTATATAAATGTTCAGTTTGGTCAAATTAGCCAACTATTACCTTCAACTGGTATGTGCATGTCTTTATTTTTCTAAAAGCTCACAGAACATTAATCCTGACTACAACACATATACTAACATGCTAATCAACTCACCAGCCCTAAGTGACTAAAACTCCTAATTTACCAGTTAAATAAAAAATGAAGATGACGTATCAAAACTGGTGTTCTTTTCATTCTTCAAAATAGTTATAGCAAAAGTCATTAATAGACTGGGCTTTTAATATTTTACTAAAACTAACAGAAAAAATAACATTTCAAAAGTTAACATAGGCAAAACTATGGTTTAAATGAGTATGTATTAGATTTCTGAGTGCAAGTAAATGCATCACTTAGCTCCTCCCTTAAGTATTTGACTAATGTTGGGTCCATCAAATGGCAGCAGCATTTAATCACTCACTGGTATGTAATTAAACAGTGGTTATGTAACATAAGTGCTGTTTAATTACATACATGTTAGAACAGTACCAAGTAATTCCAGTGACAATGTGTACTATATTACTGTATGTTCACCTAACCTCCAAAAAACATAGCAGACTCAGGAGACAGAAAATAGCAGGCGCTTGTTTACAAACCAGAAACAGACACGCAAGGCTTCTGGTGCAATTTCAGATGAAGCATGCTTGTTCTTCATTCAATGAAGTAACTAGAGGTGGGTTGGATAACCAGAAATTGTACTCAAGTGAGAGGAGCATTTCTTCAAAATAACATTAGAATTATTTCAAGTAGAATTGAAAAGAATGTTGCTGTAAAAATTGCAGTGCCAAAAATACCACTTCCCGCCAAAATGTTACTCAAATAAATGTAACTGAGAACATGTAATAAGTTGCTGCATAAATTTCTGTGTACCACACTAGTAATTTTATCACACCAAGCATTAGCAACATACAAATGCTTGGAATGACAAGCTCTGAAGTTATGTTTGGAGTTTCTGTAAAAATTACTTTCATTTTCTTGTAAATGTTTAAAATGTTTAATTAATTATGCTTTGTTTCTAAGACATAAATACAGTTTAAAATATGAAAAAATATATCATTAACTACAGCTAATTTCATAAAAAAAACTTGCATTCATCTCAAACTACAAATAAAATGTAAGCAAAGATTTGTAATATATAAAACATATAAGTTGCCACCTTCAACATGACAAAATGAAGATGACATTTAGTCATTATTTTTGTTATTGTCTATGCAAATAAATTAGTCTATTAAAAATCTTGTCAAAACATAATTTGATTAAACTAGAAATAATTGTACAATATGCCTATGTTCAGTCATGAGCACAACTTCAAACGTTACACCTTGATATGAAGTAAGGAGACCGCAGTAGGATTAAATGTTAAACGTGCCAAATTTTGTTTCTGTGGCAGCAGTTTGCTCTCCTGCAAGTATCATCAGGAATAACTGTTATTTCTGTTAATAAAAGAAAATTCAAACTCAAAATACTTCCCCAGTGAAATTAATTCAGGGATACACTGATTGCAGTCTTCTGGCCGGTCACCGATATTTAAAAAACATGGCTAATTTTTGCCTTTCTATACTAAATATAGCAAAACAAGTTGCAAAATTGGCAACAGTATGCAAACTATTGTCCAATCCAGCCCTCTCTTTGAGACTTGTGGTGGAATAAAGATCTATGGATAAGACCATTTTCACATGTAAGTATTGACCGATCGTCGATCAACCAGAATTAAAGAAACCTTGGCTGATCAATCTGTGCACCTTTAAAAATACCTCTCCCCTCAAATCCTTCTTAAAAAAACTACAAAGTACTTAGAGAAAACAATGGATATGATCTCTGTTCTTTTCAGTTGTAATTTCTATTTATTTATTATAAATTTTGCAGTTTTATCCTGGTGTTGCTAACATAAAACCTTACAGAGTGTTCAAAAACCCGTTCAGAGTCTCAAACTACAGAACTATTTGGCCTTTGAAAATTGTCAATGAAGCTGAGTCCTTACCGTATGATTATGTTGAAACTACAGCTTAGATCAATGACAAGAGCCAAACACATCTGTCACAGCACAAACACACACAGATACTGCTCCAGACTGAGCTATGGGACTTCTTCACATACAGCACTTTGTAGAAAATAAGGTACTATCTTAGCTTAAAAGTTAAAGAAATGTACATATAGCTGTATCAATCCTGTACTTGAGCAGGTATTGGTTTCCTAAACCCAACTGGGAACAGATTGCTTATCCCAGGACTCTGTTTATAAACTGTTTCTGTAATGTTCACACAGTTGACAGCAAACCTGACAAAACTACTAAATAGGTTTAGTTTGCTACATCAACTCAAACTTAATGCATCCTCTTTAGATGTTCAATATTCTGCGAACATAGATGAAAAATAAGTTGGCTAATGGAAATGAGAATGTACCTCTGCTTTTTAAAGCATTGCAAAATGGACAGAATGTCAGGTTTGTTGTGTGAAATGAGAATTTCATAATGTGGTAACAATGTAACAACCAATTCCAGCCTACCCAGTAATATATGGATTACTAACAGCAGCAGAAAATGCGAGTCTCTTTTACAGCGGGCACCCTGGAACTCCTTTAAGGCAGCAACAGTTGTCAGCTGAGGGTATTTAAGGTCTCTGTCTGCCTCCTTTGTTGCTCGTATTTGTAGTGGCTGGTCTGGACTGCCACTTGCTCACAGAGCAGTAATTGTGTCTGCAGTCTCCAGCATATCCATATGTGTGTTGCTACAGCTGAGCGCTTTGTGGCATCGAAGCAAATAGCTGGAAAAAATGACATATCAGTTGTTCCCCCTTAAGAGTCTCTCCCTCTGCCACTGCAGCTGCCAATTTTACATGCAGCAGCAAGCCTCAGCTCCTCATAGGGGTAAAGCTAGGAGTAATTATGAGTGTTCAATGAGTTGATGAGAATGGCTTTAATGGAGCTGAAAGGATACAATGAAGGTAAAATATACATCATCTGCAATTCAAAAATGCTTTTTTAATCCCAAGGGGAAATTAAATGACCTAATTGATCAACTGATTAAGCTCTTATTATAGCTACATTTCCATTTGCTGATTAATAACTTCCAGTTTGTAAATAAGAGCTCGAGAAATCTTTATTATAGTTTCATAAAATAAGCAATATCCACTTGTAAAAAATGTTTGTGCCATTACTGAAGTGCAAATATGCATAAAGCAAAAACTATGCTTTTCTTAAACCAGTGTTGCGCAAACATTTTCAGGCTGAGGACCACGTTTAACACGTTTAACATGGACCACTTAACTCAAAATTGCAATAACACATCATCTTATTACATATAGCCAGCATAACTTATTGTTGTCTTCTTTGGACATTCTGTAACAAAACCATGAACACGTCAACTTGAGGCATTTTGAGTTATTTGCAGATTCTGAAACTACGACTTCTAGGCTTTCAATTGATGTCAAACAAATCTATGAAAATCAAAAAGTGACATTCTTTACTGCAGGTGTTGTATATCACTA